AGAGAGAGAGAGAGAGAGAGAGAGAGAGAGGGAGGGAGTGAGTGCGTGAGTGTGTGGATAGGGCTGCTTTCTGTTGCTGGATAGGTAATGGGGTTTCTGTACATTGGATTTCCAAGCTTCTCGTTATAGGCTTGCAGCTGCATCCATTGAGTTGCAGAGTAAATAGAATGGCTTGCAGCTGCATCCATTGAGTCGTAGAGTAAATAGAAAAAGAACATTGGGCAGGATGCAGAGAAAAGATATGGTGCACGATAGGGGCGGAAGAGAAGGGTCTTTGACAAATAATGATGTGGTTGTGAGGATAGAGTACGCTTGGCTAGATGTATTGGAACAGCTTGAGTTAATGAGTGACCTTCTAACCATGTTTTATATCATTTTCAGGCCCTTTGGGGATTTGTGTTCTACCATGCTGAGGGTAATCGCTCTTGATTGGACTATGGCTGCCTACACTTTATGTTCTTATAGTCGAAGAAGACTCCTTTAATATCGTTAGTTGGGCATTGAGAGAGTCCCCTTTTCCATGATCATGGATAAGATCCGCATACTTAGCACATCTACTCGTCGTAATTTTACACACATTTTATAGGGAAGTCGATAAGATGGCCGGACACATGAAGGAACTATCATTTAATAAATTCATTAAACGTGCAAATGGCCCCATATGTATCAATATGCCAACAAAGCACGCAAAACAGGTGTAGTACTGTATATAAATGGCCCCATACTGTCCTATTTATCTAGCAGAGTTACTGTTTATGCCACAGTATATATGACAATTTGCTTTTGTTTTATTGTTACTTATTTCATTTTGAGGATTGCCATTTGCATTTGTCGTTTGCTAGTTGCACTTGCACTCAAACGTTTGGTGGATGCTCTTGTTAGTAATACATTATACTGCTGCCCGTGTTTTAGATGTTTCAGTGGAAATCTCTTCATCTCTTCTAATTTTCTATATATGCTATTTTCCTCTCTATTAACCTTGCTCAATTTTGAAATGCATGTCTGATTTATGGAGTTTTCAGTATTTGGGTATAGTATGGATATTTCATTTCTAGTCCTAGTTATAAGGTTGATGCTTCTGAGACTCATGTTTCCATGTCCAATATGGACAAAGTAACATGTGGTTTTTTGATATTCGGGTTGTAAGAATGAGTAATTAGGTGTTTGAGTTGTACGGGAATGTTTTTGGTATTTGGGTAGCATATGGACCAAAGGGTCCTTAAGTTCCATGTCGACCCTCAGAGCTTCAATGATTGTTAGTCTGTACCTTAGTTAGACTTTGATGTTCTAATGCTATTTGGAAGATTCTTAAAAAAAACATACAGATATGATGTGCTTTTTGGGAGGTTTAAAAAGCTTAAAATCAAGTAAACTTAGGTAGACTTTAGGGTATACCTAATTAAAGGAACCTGATCAGGTATCCACACATGACGCATCAATAGAAGGCTTAGCTTTGACGACAAATGTGGATGCTTGCTTGCTATTTTGGGTGCTGCATGATTCATCTGAATGTCTGGTCCTCATTCCCATGTATCATACTACTTCCCCTTTGGTTTGTGTTCCATTTGTTTGATCAATAGGATGGGTTGTGGCGAGGGTAGCTACTTGGAGATTCATAGTCATTCATGTATCAATGGGCATCTCTATGCTTGAATGGTGGTTTCTTGTGAATATGGAAAAAGATATCTTAATCCAGCTTCTTTCCCCCTTTATGATATCAAAAACCATGGCTTTAGTTTCTCTAAAGGCTATATGTGCCATGGGACATGTTGCTGCTAATTCTCATTTAGTGTGGAAAATTTCTTCTTTGCAACCTTGGTTTCTTCGTGATTCCTCGTGAGTAAGATTTGATGGAGTCCTGTATTAGGGAAGCCATACTCCTCTATGTTGGGCCCCATTCCTAAAATCTTTTTTCTCAGGTCTCTATGTCAATGGTTATCCTCCAAAAATGTGGCAATCTCTCGTAATTGGAGCACTCATCTGCTGCATCTCTGCAAGCGTTCCTTCGCTCCTTTCGGAAACTTTGTTGAGCTTCTTCTCTGCAACCTTTTCAGAGTTTTTTTCCGATTTGATTAGCTTTTCACAATATTCTGTTCTCGACTTTCAGTAGTTTTTTATCTGGTATTGTTACATTGCACTTAACAAGAAGGATATTTTCAAAATCTGTCTGTGTTAATATGAAATAATAGTTTCTCAATGTTCAAGTCAAATATTTTGCAGAAATCTTTATAGTTGAAGGTGATTCTGCTGGTGGCAGTGCAAAACAAGGCCGTGACCGGCGTTTTCAGGTATATTACTCCGTTCACTATTCTACTGTCCTCGTTGTGTGCAATTTGCATATAAATTTCTCTTATTTATTCGGTGGTTATGTCATTTTTACGTATAAGCATGTAAGAGTGTACGTTATCTTTGTGCATGTATTTCCTTGTGATACCATGCATATGCTTTGCATCATTATTTTGCCACCAAAATAAATATCAACACTCGTAACATTAGGGTAACAGAAATAAGCAACATATTTGTGGAAAAAGGAAACGTAGGAGGATAGTACATGATGCCTTAACAACCTTTCCCACGTTCAAACCCGAGCTTACTATTTCATTGACCCAACCCTACTACCCTCCTCTTCTTTCTCAGCTGAACCATTGGGTTTCTTTTAAGGTAACTATGTCTAAAAAGACCCTTTTTATGTACAAGCACTTTTATACCTTGATTAGTGTTTGTTACATTGTTAATATAGTTGTTGATGACATTGTTGATATGTGGTCGGGTTCTAAGGTTGTTATTGAAATTGATATGAAAAGTGGATATCATCAAATTTCTTTTCGGCTTGGAGATCAATGGAAAACAACTTTTAAGACTTAGGAGGGTTTCTATGGCATGTGGTGTTGTTGGACCGCTAATGTCCTAATTTATGAAACAGGGGGTTTGTATTTACAGTTATGAAACAGGGGTTTTGTCTTTTTGTTGGCAAATTTGTGGCTGTGTTTTTTATTATATTTTCTTTTTGAAGTTTTTTATGAATTTTTTTTTTGATGTTAACTTTAGTTTTTAATGATTTTGTTATGTACTTTCTAATTAATAATAATAATTACCAGCCATTTGAGACAAGCACAAATCTGAAGAAGTGTCCTTTATGGCGGAATGCTTGGTATTCTTGGAGCTTTTATGTACTTAAGCACAAATCTCCAGAAGTGTACTTTATGGCGGAATGCTTCGTGTTCTTGGAGCTTTTGGTCTTCAGCTGACGGGGTAAATGCATCAAGTTAGTGTGCTAGCGATTGTGGATTGGCCTACACCTGGAATAGTGCGTTTCAGGTAGAGTTTGATGCTTCACATGTGGGTATTGGAGCTGTCGTTACCAAGAGCAAGCCTGTGGCCTTCAGCCTTCTTTGGTGAAAAGTTGTCTGATCTAAGGCTCGGTATTCTAGCTGTAATGTAGAGTTTTATGCTATAGGTGCAAGCCCGTCAACATCTACCTTATATGGAGAGAGTCTATCATGTTTTCAGATCATGACACCTTGAAATTCTTAGACGCCTTGAAATTAAATGGAAGACATGCGGAGTGGATATCTTATTTGTAAGTTTCCTTTTGTGATTCGGTACAAGTTCAAAAACCAAAATAAAGTGGTTGATGAATTGAGCAGGAGGTCCTACTTGTTTGGGACAATCAGAAATTCGGTGGTCGGGTTATGAAATTCCTTGCAATTATATGTTACTGACCCATACTTTTTGTAAGAATCAATCAGTTTGCGCAGGGCGGCGAGTTTCGTTCTTCCATGTCTTGCATGACGATTTTATTTCTAAAGGGAGTCAATTATGTATTCCTTAAGGTTCTTCGTGGTTCAAGATTCTTGCCGATTGCATAGTGAAGGTCTTGGGGGGCATCGAGCTGGACAAGGCAAAGGAAAAATATCATCGGCCTTGGCTCAAGCGTGATGTTAGTTGGCTGGTAGAGATATGTGAGGTTTGTCAGATAGCCAAGAGCCAATCTCAAAATACAGCATTGTACATCCATCTTCCTGTTCCTACTAGCCATTGGACTGATGTCAGTATGTATTTTGTACTGGTACTTCCTCGCACTACTAGGAATTGGGATTCTATCTTTGTCATAGGAGAATGCTTTTTGAAGATGAAACATGTTATTTATTTGCAGTAACACTCTTGATGCCACACATCTAGCTTATTTGTTCTTCAAGGAGGTGGATTGGCTTCATGGAGTTTGTAATATCATTGCTTCTAATCATAGTTATCGGGATCTCCTACTTTGGTAGGCGATCCCTTCTAGATTCTCGATTCTGTCGCTCCCGGAACGAATCTCTAAGGGATCTTGAATTTTAAATTTTGGGATCTCGTACCCCACAAAAAATGATCCCGATTCTTGCTATTAGGGATCTCGATCAGACTAAGACAACAACCAAACTGATGATTTTATTTGTTTGTAGACAACTAGCAACACAAATATTGCTTGCTATAAATAATGAAATCCCTACTTTAAAGAATATACATAATCGTTTATTATCATACACTTTAAGGTTCGTAACAAGAGCCCCAAAAAGTTGGGATCAAGATCCTCAAAAGGTTGGAATCTCGATCCCTAACATGTGCATTGTACGGACGGCGTTCCCAACCATAAGGATCTTCTAGCATTTTACGTTCCCTTGCTCCCGATCCTGATCCCGGTGCCATTCTCGCTCTCGTTCCCAAAAACTATGCTTCGAATTGAGATACAACCCTATGGAAGAATTAGGCACATGGATCTAGTACAATCTCGCATATTACCCTAAGACTGATGGTCAAACTGAGGTTGTCAATAACAGTCTAGGGATTTATTACGGAGCTTCATAGGAGACAAGCCTGTAATTGTAAGTCAATCCACTGGAAAGTTGCCTTATGAGAACATTTAGACAACGTGCATGGAGAACAAGGTGTATGAGATAGTGCATGGAGAACAACCACACAAGGTCCTAGATTTAGTGCCTTTGTCTGAAAAAGAGCGGGCTAGTGAGCAAAGTTGTTGAATGAAAATTGGAAATGTTTAAGTAGGTTGATGAGAGGATCTGAATGGTTTTTGATATTTGGACCCTTACTACTTTTTGTGGTTCAGAGAATTTAGAGAAGTTGATAAGATTTGATGAAGCATGGAAGTTCACAGATGATCCAAACTCGGGGCCGAGTTCTCTCGAATCAAGGGAGACCAACGAAGGTCGACTATCACTTTAGGTCTGATTCATGCTTTTAGAGTCAATTTTTAGTCTAATTTGTTGGGCAAAACTGGTGATTTTGGTGTTATCTACTTTTGCCATTATTTCCAAAATAGGTTTATAATAGTGATTTCAATATCATAATGAAAAGTTACAGCTACATGAAGCTAAGCTATCATTTCAATGATTTTCTAGGATAACTCTTTCTTATTCTATTTCTTCATGGGTAAAAGTATCAAATTTGCATTCACTTTTAATTCGGAATTCTAATTACATTATCATTTCAACTGGGTATGCAAATAAAGTTTATAAATAGGCTTGTTGTTTCGCCCCCCCCCCCCCCCTCCCCCTCAAGGTTACTAGTAAAATTTCCAACACATTCTTTAGAAAATTCTATTAAATTTGTGTAGTCATTGAAGCTAGGCTTGTTAACTTCCATTAGTTTTCAGTCAATACATTATTTTCTTTTGAAATTTTTTTTTTGTTACTTGAATTTTCATCACCCTAGGTCCAAGCTGACTTGACTTGGATGGTTCCAAGTGAGCTTGCTAGTCCACGATCATGTGAACAGAAAACAAAAATCTTCAAAAAAGTGATCGTTAGCAATAAAATCATCAAAAAACCAAAAAAAAAAAAATCAAACACGTCGGGTTCAAAATTTAAATACTTCTGAAACTCCTCTTGGGATTTAGATCCCTTCAACCTAGTATTGCGCCTCCATTTTCAGTGGACATGATCCCCTTCTATAGAGATCAAGATCCCTTTGAGTCACAAAGCATGATCCCTATCAGATAGGGACTTGGTATCCCTTGACAGGGAAGAGCACGAGATGCTCGGGCTCCATTTTTGATATGTCTGATGTGGGATTCCAAGGGGGATTGCCAATCCCCAATCAAGTGCCCAATCCTTTCTTCATGGTATGATGGTGCAGCTAGCACTTTGCAGTGAGTCCTCAATTTCTTTGTGGCTGCCATGTGGTTCAATGTCTTATTGTGCATCTTTGGTGCTAGAATCATGAATTTTTCAACGATTTGGAAGATTGTCAAGCCAAAAATTTAATTTCTCAAATTCATGGTGGCAAGCCATCATCTGATCAAATTTAGACGTGGATCAAGCTTGTTTTAGCTAATATATGTTCATGATCCTACTAATTTAGGCCATGTTTGGATGTACTTGTTATCAACTTATCACTGATAATTCACTATTTAAATAAAATTAATCCTGATAATGAACTATATGTTGTTTAGTACTACTATCCATCATATGCTATTCGAGATAAATTTACTAATTTGTTGCAATCACATATTTTTAGCCTGAAATAGCTAAAATCAGTTGGTAATCACTGAGAAAGTAAAATTATTAAATAATATTATACATCATAATATACGAAACGTACCAAATAGCTAAAAAAATAGTATCATCCAAAATATATTGATTTTAGATAAAATAGTCTATTTCAAATAAAGTTAATGTTCATCCAAATAGGCCCTGATTTGGAGTATTTTTTAAGAAGTTTTGAAGAATTTTACCTTTGAGCATGATTCATGATTGTGACTTACATGTAGGGATTAAATCTCATACTAAGGGGTTTTTTCCAAGAATCGACTTTCTCGTTTTCCCCATTTCTTTGCATATCAGGACTTTGTTTGAGAGCAGTGGTTACTCTGTACCCCACCTTTGGGTTGGTATTACATGTCGAAACAAGTCAAGACTTAGGCATGTATTGAAATTTTCTGACATGACACATGTCTAAACTGTAGACATTCGTCTTAGTTGTGGGCACATGTCCTAAATTCTAAATAGGATTTTCAACATAATGTAGCATCTATACTATATTTTGCTTATTTTACTATTAAATATAAGGTATTAGTAATATATAAGTGCTAGTAAATTACTTGTATACCACTGTGAATACAAGATTGAAAGATGTTTTAAACAAAAATTTCTACAAAATGACAATTGTGTCAAAATCTTTAATTTGCACCAATATGCATAGGAAAAAGTTTATGTAAGGATGCAAACTTTATAATGTAGAACTATGGATGCACCTCAAAAATCCATTGGAAAAGGTAGTTTTAATGTTCAAAAACCCTTTGATTGATCATCTTGACATCGAGATGTCTGACCATGAAAATAAAAAGATTTTAAGTCTCAGAAATAGTGCATTTTACAATATATTATCTACACAGTCCACTTTCAAGATTTTCATATGTTTATAGATCTACTTGATTTTAACCATTTTTTAAATTTAAATTTTATAATTAAATATAAAAATAGATTTTGAGATAATCCTAAAAACATTTTACATCAAAATTATATACCATGATAAAATTTGAAGGTGCACCTACAGCTACGGATGCATCCGTATGCCAACTGCACCCATATGCATGTAAGAACGAAAGTTTAAAAGTGTCAACAAGAATACACGTTTGATTTATAGATGCATGTCTTTTATTGACACGTAGAAACAGCGATACGTACTGTACAACTGTACAGTAAGTGTCAATGTCTAGCACTCTATTTAGAAGGGCAGTGTCTGACACCTCATATATGTGTGGGCACTCGACACCCGTGTTGGGTCCTTTTAACATCGATTCATACCGTTATAGCTGCTTGAAAATCCCTCTTCAGCCTCTATCGATATTTGTGCTGAGGTTTGATAGCCTCTATTAGACTCTATGGGTGCTGCAGTAATGGGTTTGGAGGATTGTCTCACCAAGGCGGAAACAGAAGAGAATGTTTTCTCTTTGGAGGAATAGGTCACCAGGCCTTGATAGTTTTGACATGGCTTTATATCAAGAGTTCTGAGAGGTAGTCAAGGATGATTTGGTGGCCATGTTCGAGGAATTCATGCTGAAGTTTGATGGGAGCTCAAGACGAAATCCGGGGCTGCTGGATTTGGAGGAGTTTTTTGGGACTACCAAGAGCACACATTTCTCTCTTTGCTTGGGTCCCACAACTCATTGTGACTGCAATCTTGAGGAAGCTATGTTTGCTCTCCAAAATTCATCTCTATGTTCAATAATTAGGGCCATCTAACTCTAGAGGGGGAGTCAGCCATTGTAATTGCTTGAGCCAGTTTTCCCCTTGTGTTTGCCCCTATGTTCAATATATTTGGCTGCAAGCTGATTCCTTGGCTATTGATGTGGTCGGCCATACCTCACTTCATTACTTGCAAGCCCCCACCTCCAAAACACCCTCCAATTCCGTAATTCATATCCTCTTGTGCCCAATATTTGCCCTACCCTTCTTTTTTTGTTGACTCTTTTTTGAGATATATCTGCAATGACATCTATTGATTGCCAATAGCAGTCTTTTGAAAAAAAGAAATAGATATTTGTGTTTGAAATTTAGACATGCATACCCAATTTTAACCAACTTATTTCCTATTATATTTGTTTAATGAAAAAAATAATAATGGTTCCTAAGGGCCCAGATTGGAGCAATGATCCTTTTGGAGTATCCACCATGCTTGAATGATCTAGGGACCAAAAGAAATTCCAAATCATTCTCAATCACTACAACATCCTCCTCATCCAGAAAAGATTCAATTTGTGGCTCTGGAAATGCTTTAAATCCACTACTGCTGCAAAATAAATTTTGGACAGTCCGTTTGAATGGATAAAAGATTTGCGGGTCTGGAGCTCCAAATCAAATTTTATATAGAAGGGACTGATTTGGAGCCTTTTCTAAGGTTTTGGATCCCTCACCCAATCAAATCTGGTGGATATGTGAGGGACCGGTGCTACAAGTTGGTCCCTTGGAACTATGAAATACTTCAGATTTAATATATTTATTGATATAGTTATGTCAATGATTCCTATTTTTAAGGCTCAAATAATTGGACACCCGATACCCGTGTCTTAACACTGACACTTGCACCTGATCCCTGCAACATAGGTTAGCATCCCCTGCCATGGTGCTTTCCTCTATCTTTGTAAAATAGAGGGATAGATAAACTTATATATGGATATTTGATAGAATCTCTGTTTTGGTTTTGTTTCATTAACCTAGTAAGTTCCACTGCATTTTTGTGCCTCTTAACTAAATTCTCACCCCAAGACAAAAAGGAGAACATTATGGATCTACTTCATTTTTTATTTAACAAAAAATGGAAAAAGAAAGTACTTCACCCTTCCCCTTCCTACAGTCTGAGTTCCAAGCGAATCTATCACTGCTAATTCATGCAAAAGGTTCATATAAGGTTGCATCCTTATACTATAAAAGTAAGGAGCACCTCAAAAATCCAATACAAAAAAGTGTTCCAAAGTTGGAAAACCTTCCAATTGATCATCTTGATCTCGAGATGTATGGATATGAAGAAACAAAGAAATTTCAAGTCTTAAAAATACCGCAACTTGTAACAAGTTATCTGGACTGTGTATTTCAAGTGTTTACAGTCTGCTCGTTTTGTACTGTTTGTGGAATTTTAGATTTCATAATTAGGGTTAGATTTTCAAGCCATTATAAGGTTTCCAACACCGAAAAAATTAAGCGGTACACCTGCTATAGTATATGGTGGGTGCCTTATACAAACGTCATTTGATTATGATTTCATGTTAGACATTGGTATATGGGCAAGTTACACCGACCGTTTGCTATGAGTTTGTGTAAATGTTCAAAACATTGATGACGAGTGTGATTTCCAATTTCAGGCATTCATGCATCATTGGTTTATTTTTCCTATTCTTTTTGATCTCTTAGTGTTACTATCCAGGCTGTGTTGCCCTTGCGTGGTAAAATTCTGAATATCGAGCGCAAAGACGAAGCTGCCATGTATAAAAATGAAGAGATTCAAAATCTCATTCTTGGATTGGGACTTGGGGTGAAGGTTGTTGCCTCACATACTACCTTTTGCCTTTTTTCCAACCCCCTCCCCTCCCCTTCCCCCTGAATACCTTTTCTTCTTATTTTTTTGCACCTTTTTTTGTAGGGAGAGGATTTCAGAAAGGACGCCCTACGTTACCATAAGATCATAATTCTAACAGATGCTGATGTGGATGGTGCCCATATCCGTACTCTTCTTTTAACATTTTTCTTCAGATATCAGGTTTCTATTTGAAGCTTTCTAGTTTATGATTTTTCTGCATGTAATGTGGTCTTAATTTTAAATCAGATCATTGATTTGCCATGTGAAACTGACCACTGACCATTTTTCTTGTAGAAATCACTGTTTGATGAAGGCTGTATCTATGTTGGTGTTCCTCCACTTTTCAAGGTTCAATTTTCAGTCACTTCCTTTGAAGTTTATATGTGCGTAATTTCTTCGGATTTCTCCAAATCCTTTTGATTCATATATTTCAGGTAGAGCGCGGTAAGCAAGTTCACTATTGCTACAATGACATGGAGCTAAAACAACTCCAAGATGCCTTTCCTCCAACTGCATCTTACAATATACAGAGGTTCAAAGGTAACTAAAGGGTGGGAGACCTCTCTCTCTCTC